GGTGCAAAGCTTCAAAATCATTGATGGAGAAACAACATCACCCAGTCAGATGGGGAGGTAGCATGGTGTAACATTCAAGCTCCTGCAAAGACAAAGCAGGGTTTTGAACTGAAAGAATTGGGGAAACAGAAAGAGACACCCTGTTCCTTTACGGGACCCCTAGAGTTTTGAGTGCCAAATGAAACCTACCAAATAAGTTCCTCTTTCCAAGGAAAAGAAACACAATCTTGCAGCTTGCACAGCTAACTCCAACCATCAAAACCACCATAGATAAGAAAATATTTATAATGCTGCTATTGGGTTCAAAGAGCAAGGTAAAGCATTTTTATGAGCAGTTTTCTGGAATTCAGAGAGGTTACTTCTATCCTGGCCCCAGGCACAGGCCAGACTCTTCCCTGGTTGCTTCCTGTGAGTAAGTGCAATTCTTAGGAAGGCAGGACCAGTGTGCTGACCGCTCCTTGTAGATCAGATTCTTTCCTCCTTGCCAGAAAGGGATACAGGAGTGCTTTTGGGAGTGTCCCTGGCATGACCATCTTCAGTTCCTGGAAATAGGTTTATATAAACCAGGTCAAATGGCCATGATTCCAGGCAATCGCACGGAAAAGGTCTTCTCCACTTTACCTTTCCTTTCCACAGTAATTCGTCCCTGACTTTATTATAACATGGAAGTTTACTGGCTATTTATGGTATCCCTTTCCCTACTCCTCTCTAACCCCCAGAAAAATTCAAGAACTAACGCTGCTCAAGTCTTTAGTATTATTGTTTTCAAGATGAATGCTACTTACATTTTTTAACTGTATGAAATCATAGAAACACTATCTGGCCATCATAATTTGGTGTCTTCCCACTAGATTATCCAGTTACTACTCATAATAGGATAGGTATAGGTATAAGTGTACATGTAGGTATAGATGTAGTAGCACACAAGCCCAACTTGCAGACCCTGGTTCTTACGCTTATCAATGGCACCTGAATCCTATTCACCTGAGAAAATGGGCAGCTATGTCTCAAACTTGTTAGTCAGGAGCTTCTTTTTTGCCCAGAGAATAGGGAAGACATTACCACAGACACTAAGTCTCTAGCAACATCAGTCATCAGGACCCATTTTTCACTTCTGCATTTTCTCCCATTAGATTTTACTTCTCTATCCTTCTTTCAGGTTTTCATCTTTACTCCTCTGAACTTTTACCTCAGCCTAAGTGATTTCTTTCTAGTTAGCGTTTATCTGCTCAGGTCATCCATCATGCTGTCAATCAGACCTTGATTGGGCCCTGCCAATTCCAAATGTAAAATCTCTTATGATCCTTTGCTGCCCACAGGATGAAGTCTAAATTCCATGGCCTGGCTCCGTCTTCAGCCTTAATCTCCCAGCTCATCAGTGACTATACCCTTCTTGTACTCTTTTTGCTCTTGATATTTTAAGCTCATCATTCACTTCATATTTCTAACACAACATACGTTCTTACACTTCTGCATCTTTGCTCTTACAGTTCCCTTTTGTTTGGGATTCACCTTCTCCTACATCTCTACTTGATTAAATTCCTCATCCTTTAAGGTCCCCTTCAAAGATCACATCCTCTGTGAAAGGCTTTCCCTGTTCGCTTCTGCATCTTCCCAGAGTAGAGCATTCAGTCGTCCCTCAGTATCTCTGGGGGATTGGTTCGAGGACCTCTGCACAGATACTAGAATCTGCAGATGCTCGAGTCCCTTAAATAAAATGGCATAGTGTTTGCATATAACTGCATAGTATTGCAAACCACCTATGCATATCCTTCCATATGCTTTAAATCATCTCTAGATTACTAATAATACCTAACAGGATGTTAATGAAATATTTCATCATTTTCAATTTGCATTATCTTTGTTTTTTAAATACTTTTGATCTGAGGTTGGTTGAATCCAAGAATGTAAAACCAACTATGCTTCCCCTTTCTGCGTTACCACAGCAAATTTTTCATAGCTCTACCATATATGACAAGTGGTTGTTTGTGTATCCATTTCCATCTTCATCTCCACGATCTGCAACATAAACACAACTACTCATACTAAAATACTACATTTCATGGAAACGAATAAGCTGGGGATGTCACTACTTTCCCATGTAGCACAGGCAGAAACTAAAGATGTCTTCCTAAAGTCCTGGACAAATTTATGAATGGAAGAGCCACAGATGGGTATCTGTGAAAAGAAGCTGGCCTGTAACCAAGATTTAGGGATCAATCCGAGAAAGACAACCGTTTTTCTTCTGGGTTTCTGTGGTTTAAATAATGCTGGAGGGACATAAGTTTTAAGCTGTGCAGCAACCTTTCTGTACCTAATTAACTAGGTGGTCTAAAGATGCACAAAAACATTGTCACTGCCAAGGAAGTGCATAGCATCTAAACAAAAGCCCAAATCCATTTATGCCAGCCTAGCTTCATCATTGAACTCTATTCATCTGTGGACATGTTTCAAGGCCTTTTTTTCAATTACCATGAAACACTAGTAGCTAACCTGGTGTGCTGACTCTCAGAAGGGAAAGTAGCCTTTTAAAAGAATCGTAACTCTACTTCTTTCAGCAGTAAGCCTTGACCTTTTGTTGGTTTGTGTAATTCTGTGGTTGCATAGTTTGATGGTATTTAAATTTGAAACATCAAGGATATGATTGAAAAGATAGTACTTTATACCCCAACCTTGGTTTTATTTCTTAGCTTCCAAGATGATGCCATTACAGTCATCCATTTGGATGTGTAAACATTGGAGATATTTTTTATCAAATTGAAATAGAGCACTTTCAACTTCGAATAATAGAAACAAATAAGGAAGGCCACAAACAGTTCATTTTATAATGGTGACTTACAGAATCTGATTTAGGATTCTTAATTCAGCTCCTAAACCAGGCTCTCTTCCTCCTCCACAACCTCTGGGAAACTGTGCTATGAGTACATGTAGAACACAAACAAACAAAAGATTTATGTACAGAAATCTGCCTGTACTTTATTCAGAAATTGGGGTGGTTTGCAGTGAAGGTGCATCATATTAACAAAATTAGATTACAAGAATTGCTTATCCCCTGTGGCAATTTCAGTCTAATTCTCGTAAGACTTTGGAAACACTTTAGGATTCAAAACAGAATAATCAATTTAGGTTGCTTGGATTATTAACACAGTTAATTAAAGAAGCTCTGGGAAATTTTCAATGATTAGTAAGTTTCCTGCTTCATTATGGCTTAAATAAAACAAAAACTGAAAGAAGAATTTTACTCTCATACTAGTCAAGACTCCACTAATGTCCTCTGCCTATTCCCCAGGGACTGGGGACCTAGAAAGCCCAAAAAGGATGTGGGGATATGTAATGATCATCCTCAAAAGTTTAATAACACAACATTTTCTTGAAATGATCTAGCAAAGAATTCACCCCGATTCTGCTGGCTGAATGGGAGACCTAATTGCCATCCTCTTCCATAAAGAATTAGGGAAATATTCTAGCCCATGATGAGATTTTTCTTCCTTAAAAAATTTTTGCCCTTTGAGTCAGCACCATGTAGTTAAATACTATACTTAATAACTTCAAAACCCCTTGAGGGAATGTCTCACCAGTCACTTAGATACAAGGAAGTACATGGAATCTAGTTGAAAGTTGAGAGTCGAAAGTCTGAGTTGAAAGTCTGAACTCAGTCAAGTTAGATTTCCAGTTACCTAATTAGTTTAAAATACACCAATAAATATCATCTGTAGAGTGTTACAAGACATCTGACAAGATGGAAAAACTATGAACTCTGAGCCAAGCAAGTGGAGTTCAAGTCACAGCTTAGACATTTATATCTCTAATATTTAGGGCAAGTTACTTTATCCCATGGAAATTCAGTTTCACTGTCTTTTAAAGTAATGTTGTAAAAGGTAAACATGCTGCTGCTTTTTTTTTAAATTTCAGGGTGGCTGAAAGATAGCAAGTGCTCCAATAAGGGAAAACAAACCTAGATTGGAGTGTGGGAAACTAGGTTTAAGTGAAAGGGGAAAAAACAGGTGTTGGGGGTAATGATCTAGCACTTGATAACATGGCCCTCCTAACTAGGTGGCCCCAGGTCTGTGAATGTGTGGCAGGTGAAGGCAAGTGGATGAACTGGATGATTTCTTAAGGCTCATTTCAGTTCTGTTTCTTGGGAGCACACTGGGAATTTATCAGGAGACTTGGCTCTCTAAGAGGCTACTAAGCAAGTAATTTCTCTTGGTTCCCATGCCCATAAAGCTCAAGATTAAATAGTCTCATCCCAACAGACATAGACATACAAGGCAAGAGCTACAGTACAGCAATAACAAAGGAAAATAAATAGGCAAGATCAATAAAAGAAAAAATAAAACACAAAGAGATCAAACACTTTAATAGATCCATTTTGCAAAGCATAAAGCAAAACCAAATGATGACAGAATTTTATTTTCATAAGCATTAAACTCACTCCCAAACAACTTAATATAAGGAATGGCCCATCACTGAGAATAACAAAGAAGACATCAATTTCTAAGAGGCCTCATACTATCATTATCATTTGTTCAAAATGAAAATTCACCTGTCTCAGCACTGGATGCAAGTCTATTGGCCTTGCTTTTCTAGATGATGTCATAAAGTGAGCAAGTTCATGCAGGTGGTTATTTTAAGCAAAGAGTAGTTTTAATCAGCAAGTTTGTATAAGTGTGGGATGAGGGCTCATTAAAACTCTCACCCAACCAACCTTAAAGGCACTGTAGGCTTTCAGTGGGAGGACTATCATTGGCTTTTCTGCCCTGCTTCCCCTTCCCTGAAGTTCCTGCTCAATCTCACACCTCACTTTCCACTAAGAACACAATCAATTCAAAGCAGGTTTCCCTACCCCTTAGCATCATCATTAGCTGTAGTGTAGGTAAGAACAGAAGCCTCTTTGGGAACTACAGTCAACAGCCAGAGGGAGAGAGGTAGGGAGGCAGAAAAGTGAGGGAAGAAGAGAAAGAACAGTTTCAATTTCTGCTGCACCACATCAGCCTCACCTTGCAGGAGCAGACAGAACACCTGTCTTCTTTCAAGGTCCACACCTGGCCATTGCGCTTCAGCCCCCCTTCATGAGGACAGTCACCAGAGCAGGAGGGCCCAGAGGGGCAGAGACAGTCAAAGCCCCCTGCCAGGTTGATGCAGGCAGAATCGTTCCAACAGGTGTGAGTTCTTAAGGCACATTCATCGATGTCTGCAATATAGGAAGCACAGAGGCTTAGAATCTAGCCAAGGGAACTGAGAACAAACCACCATCATTTACAGCAGCATTAACTAACATCATTGACCGTTTACCTCGTGCCAGGTACTGTGCCAAGCTATTCACACACATTATCTCATTTACACTGCAAGTCAGTTCTGCTCTGTGTGGGAGGATCTGTCCTTATTCCTATTCTGCAAATAATGGAGCTGAGGTTTATAGACTTAAATAGCATGACCATTGTCATACAGCTAGTGAGTGGCTGATCTGAGACCCAAACCTACAGCTAGCTGCCCGACTCCAATTACTAAAACATCCACTAGCAGTTAGGAAGCTCTCTTAGGATATTCTTAAGAACGATTTCATCCAGAGGCCATAAACAGTTAATTCATTAACAGTATGCATATACCACCATGCAGATCTGAGTCTTTTAGAAAAGATGTGAATATATTAGCCACTGAGTAGGAACAAGTGGGCAATTTGGGCAACCTTGAGACAATTAGACTGCTCCTAGATCCTACCACCAAAGTTTGAAGGAAGTGGGAACAATTCTTGGTAGGTGCCTTTTATAATCAAAGTCTTACTATCGTAATGGCCAGGAGAATATTTGCCCATGCATAAAAAATAATATCAGAGCTACATGGATGGATGCTGATGCAAGACATAAATATACTGTCCTGCTCTTTTATTGACAGTAAGAATGGAATAAAAACATAAATCCAGTCAGCCCATTCTGACATTTAAAGCTTGAGCGACCTTAACAACATCTCAAACACAAACCTGTCCAACCCTGGCTTAAGTCCTTCCCCAAAAGGCGTTCCATTACCTTACAAAATACCGGATTCCACCTTTGAATAACTCTTTTGAAAATGTCTCCCTTAAACTGAGATGAAATATATTACTGAGTAACTTCTACTCATTAGTAGAAGTACTGAGACTTAGTGTCTGAGACCATTCAGGAAGTGTCTACGAGTTTACTTGGTTTTAGTCTATCTGCTATGTGCAAGTTTCTTTGCACATCATGCAATATAAAGTAGATGACATTAAGAAATTCTAATATTTCTAGAAGACACTTTTTTTCCAAGATCTACTTTTTGGCTTTGTCTTACCAATATTAGTTTTAGTCAAGACATTTCATTAGTGAACAATGATTTCTCCTTTGAAAATTACAGAAAAGATCCCAAATTAAGATGCCTGTATGCCAAGTCAACTAAAATCAAGGCTCACTATATCTGCTCACTGTTACTAGTCATGCACACCCCATTCTAAGTTTATTTCTATTTGAACATATTGTGCTCCTTTCATATAGCCTCTCTTATCTCTTCAATCTTCTTTCATTTCTCTTATTCTTCTCAACTAAAAGGAGTTTTAAATGTGGGAGTATGGTGACCAATGTTTGAAACCAAGCTCTTACTTTTTAGTTGAGTGCTTACTATGTATTAGTCATTTTACACATAACAGTTGTATATTCTTTGACATGTTACTTTGTTTTTCTCTCATTTATCTTCTATATACACTATACCCACCCAATGCATGGTCTTCCAAAAATTTTAAACCCAGCATAGCATATAAATGTCATCTAACACTTCAATTGTTATCTTGTGTGTCCCCTCCCTTTTCATTCAAAAGCAATGAATACAAAATTTCAGTTTAACAGAAGGTATAAATTGAAGAAGATCTATTGTCAAACATGATGACTGTAGTTGATAACAAGGTATTGTAGTCTTGAAAATTGCTGAGAATATTTTTGTCACAAAAAATAAGTGTATAATGTATATGTATGTGTGTGTGTATATATATATATATATAATGTAGCTTATTTAGCCATTCCAGAATGTATTCCTATTTCAAAACATCATGTTGTATACCATAAATATATATAAAATGTATTTGTTAACTGAATTTTTTTAAAAAAGCAATGGGAAATCCACAAAGAGGCCATATTGTTTCCTGTGAAGCAACTGTGTCTTAAAACATGTTTTTTCTTATTATGAGAGTATTCTCTCTCTTTACTTTTTCTTGGCCTATAGGGAATAATATAAGGTATAAATTAATTAATTGATAAGCACTTTCCTTCCTGTACTATTTTCACTCCTACACAGTCTTAAAAATTCAGGTTAAGCATCACCATCTCTTATATGGCAAGACAGTCACTACAGATTTTTTGCTTTCTCTGTACCTTATACACAATTCTATCCTTGCATTCACCTCTCAGGAGTTCCATGTTTAATATGTCTACCTCCAGAGAGAGTGAGCTCATTGAGGGCAGACACTAAATTTTATTTCTCTTTCTCTCCCCAGTGCCGAGTATAACAGAATACTATATGGATGTTCAATTTATTTATTCGATTTAACTTTCTTAGGAAATCCACAGACTGAGACTATTATAATGCCTACTTTGCCAAAATTCGGTCTCTAGAGTGTTCAATAAGCATAAGGCATAATCACAACCCTGCCCTTCAGGGAACACATTTTGTTGTTGAGTTCTCATCTGTGAAGGCCCTTGGGTCTAATTTAAAGTAGAAAAAAATACAGCAAATTAGTAACCATATTGGAGAAGGGGCAATGCCCTGCCCCTTGCCCAGGAAAAAAAACATTTGATTTTCTGTCAAACGCTTGAGAACAAGAGCAGAGGAAGCATTAACAAATGGCTCCAGAAATTGTCTGGAAGTATAATTTCAACCCAGCCACCACCAGTGGCTACAAAAGGGTCTGTAATTTATGGCTTTCTCTAAAATAATCTCTAAATTGACAACTAATGCCTGGCTATATTATGCTTTTAAAATATTTGGTTATTTGGCATTTACAAAGTTGCAAATATATTGGTAGTGATTTTCTCTCATAAATTAAGAAGCCTGAGCTTAAAGATAAACATAGCTATTGTGCACAATAAATACAGGGCGCAAAACCAGGATTTGCTTTCACTTCTCCAGAATGCAAAGATTTCACAGTTGAATATAGGACCATATTGCCTACAGAGTTCCATGTAATTGCTTTACTTATGATACAGAAATCTAATTCTGCTTCCATGCAATTTAACAGATTTATGGAAAGCCAGATGTTAGCAATTATGGAAACCAACATTATTCATATTCTTAGTAATACAGACCTGTTTGCTCTGCACAAAGCCAACTTAATCTATTATACATATCCCAAGGCATCCAACGGGAAGAAGCACCCTATTTACATATTGCAACTGTTGTTCTGTGCTGAGCAAACACAAAGTTATTCACCCATGAGACTTACCCAAATCATCAGACAGGCCTCCCAATGACAAACAGGCAAGGAAATAAAAATTAGACGAAGTATTTGAGTATTTCGTACTCAAATCTATTATCATTAGAACATACTTGTTTTTCTTATTGTAAATAATGGCTGACTGTGATCTCTCTGTGTTTCTTCTTATAAATTCATTATTTAAATGCTTCATGCTTGAATGAATTTTTTTTCAATAAAATTCCATGGCTAAGCTTGCATTTGAACTAATTTTCTTGCATTAGCATTTTCACAATTTTTGAAAGCTGTTATTATTGTACTCATTTTTGCTCTTTAAAAAAGTCTAGTTGTATCAAGTCAATCTGCTTTCATCTTTGATGTGAGGTTTTTAGGTTACTTGGGCATGTAAGAAAGTATAATTCAGAGATGTTTAGATCAGCAGCAATCAAACCAATCCCAATCTACATTCAGTTTTCCTACCCTTCAAGACAAATGGCTCTGCAGAAGTTTTAATAGCATAACCAGTGTATTAGTACTTGCCTCGGGAGCTAACACGTCTACAGGTTGATTTCAGAAATCAAAGGAAACATTTTACCAATAGTTTAGTAACAGGTTAAAGGGATGAACTTTTTCATTACTCCATATTCTTCTTTCCTGAATAACTTTTACAGCACAACTAGTCTTATTTTCAAACTCAAAACAGGTGATGTGTCAGAAAACAAAATTTTACCTAGGGTTGGAAGATACAGCTGTGTGTGTGTTCCTACTTGGAAATCATTATGAGTGGCTCAGAAATGAGAACAGAGCTTGGGGGTTTATTAATGACAGACAAACTAGAGCACAGATCCCTCTCCAATAGCTAAAGCAGAATTGCTTTTTTTTTTTTTTTTTTTATATACAGTGGCAGAGAGAAAATTATGGGGGGAAATACACACGTTACACATTAGCAAAATAAGTAAAATAATCAAGTAGCAAAATCTGAAGTCTGATGTAACTTGCAAAATAAAAGGCTCATGAAATTTGAACCTGCACAATAAATTTCAAATCCAGGATAAGTAGTGGCAGCCATGCTCTATCATGTGCTGGCCATACCACACTTGGATATTGTATTTCCTTTAGCACACAGACTATGAAGAATGAGGTTGACACAGTTAGAACACATCAGAAGAGATCCATTAGCGTGATGAGGGGCTCAAACTCATCTCACTTTGGCAAAACACAAGATGTTCAGTCTGAAAAGACAAAGACTAAAGGAAGAGATAAGTGAGCGATAGCTTCATCTATTTGAGATGCTGCTATGTATCTTTTAGGAAGAATTTTCAACACTCCTTTAGCATTAACTCTTCACTCACTGTTCCAGCCCCAAACCTTTCCTAAGTCAGGAAGAAACCCTTTCCTATGGTGTTCCTTTGTTTGGTGTATAATTTCTTTACTCTACAATGAATCTTCCCCTTTCTTTTAATTAAGGAGACTCTCTCTTTTGACAAAGGAAAAATAAAACACTGTTTTGGCTCACTATTTCCTTGATTCAGATTTTATTTCCTAGTATCTACAATTAGTAGCTATCCCCATTTACTCATTTTCATTCTTCCCGAATGTCTGTAAGCTTCCGTGAGACCCTCTTCTCAAAGGCTAAATCTTGAAGTCTCTCATAACTACTTGTTTGCAAAATCATCGCTCTTGCTTAAAAAATATTATAACAAATATTGTTATTATTTCAGTCTAAGAGTTCTCTCTGTGACCCTTCTGAAATATAATATTGCCCTCTTCATCCTATT